CAACATATGATAAAAAGACACTGACAGCATGACACAACAGATGATAGAAACACACTGACAACATGACACAACAGACGATAGAAAGACACTGACAACATGAGACAACAGATGATAGAAACACACTGACAACATGACAAAACACATGATACAAATACACTGACAACATGACACAACAGATGATAGAAACACACTGACAACATGACACAACAGATGATAGAAACACACTGACAACATGAGACAACAGATAATAGAAACACACTGACAACATGAGACAACAGATGATAGAAACACACTGACAACATGACACAACACATGATACAAATACACTGACAAGATGACACAACAGATGATAGAAACACACTGACAACATGACACAACAGATGATAGAAACACACTGACAACATGAGACAACAGATAATAGAAACACACTGACAACATGAGACAACAGATAATAGAAACACACTGACAACATGACACAACAGATGATAGAAACACACTGACAACATGACACAACAGATGATAGAAACACACTGACAACATGACACAACACATGATACAAATACACTGACAACATGACACAACAGATGATAGAAACACACTGACAACATGAGACAACAGATGATAGAAACACACTGACAACATGACACAACAGATGATAGAAACACACTGACAACATGACACAACAGATGATAGAAAGACACTGACAAGATTACACAACAGATGATACAAATACACTGACAACATGAGACAACAGATGATAGAAACACACTGACAACATGAGACAACAGATGATACAAATACACTGACAACATGACACAACACATGATACAAATACACTGACAGCATGAGACAACAGATGATAGAAACACACTGACAACATGACACAACAGATGATAGAAACACACTGACAACATGACACAACAAATGATAGAAACACACTGACAACATGAGACAACATATGATAAAAAGACACTGACAGCATGACACAACAGATGATAGAAACACACTGACAACATGACACAACAGATGATAGAAAGACACTGACAACATGAGACAACAGATGATAGAAACACACTGACAACATGACACAACAGATGATAGAAACACACTGACAACATGACACAACAAATGATAGAAACACACTGACAACATGAGACAACATATGATAAAAAGACACTGACAGCATGACACAACAGATGATAGAAACACACTGACAGCATGACACAACAGATGATAGAAACACACTGACAACATGACACAACAGATGATAGAAAGACACTGACAAGATTACACAACAGATGATACAAATACACTGACAACATGACACAACAGACGATAGAAAGACACTGACAACATGAGACAACAGATGATAGAAACACACTGACAACATGAGACAACATATGATAAAAAGACACTGACAGCATGACACAACAGATGATAGAAACACACTGACAACATGACACAACACATGATACAAACACACTGACAACATGAGACAACAGATGATAGAAACACACTGACAACATGAGACAACATATGATAAAAAGACACTGACAGCATGACACAACAGATGATAGAAACACACTGACAACATGAGACAACATATGATAAAAAGACACTGACAGCATGACACAACAGATGATAGAAACACACTGACAACATGACACAACAGACGATAGAAAGACACTGACAGTATGACACAACAGATGATAGAAACACACTGACAACATGAGACAACAGATGATAGAAACACACTGACAACATGAGACAACATATGATAAAAAGACACTGACAGCATGACACAACAGATGATAGAAACACACTCACAACATGACACAACAGACGATAGAAAGACACTGACAGCATGACACAACAGATGATAGAAACACACTGACAACATGACACAACAGACGATAGAAAGACACTGACAGTATGACACAACAGATGATAGAAAGACACTGACAACATGACACAACAGACGATAGAAAGACACTGACAACATGAGACAACAGATGATAGAAACACACTGACAACATGACACAACACATGATACAAATACACTGACAACATGACACAACAGATGATAGAAACACACTGACAACATGACACAACAGATGATAGAAACACACTGACAACATGAGACAACAGATAATAGAAACACACTGACAACATGAGACAACAGATGATAGAAACACACTGACAACATGACACAACACATGATACAAATACACTGACAAGATGACACAACAGATGATAGAAACACACTGACAACATGACACAACAGATGATAGAAACACACTGACAACATGAGACAACAGATAATAGAAACACACTGACAACATGAGACAACAGATAATAGAAACACACTGACAACATGACACAACAGATGATAGAAACACACTGACAACATGACACAACAGATGATAGAAACACACTGACAACATGACACAACACATGATACAAATACACTGACAACATGACACAACAGATGATAGAAACACACTGACAACATGAGACAACAGATGATAGAAACACACTGACAACATGACACAACAGATGATAGAAACACACTGACAACATGACACAACAGATGATAGAAAGACACTGACAAGATTACACAACAGATGATACAAATACACTGACAACATGAGACAACAGATGATAGAAACACACTGACAACATGACACAACAGATGATAGAAAGACACTGACAAGATTACACAACAAATGATACAAATACACTGACAGCATGACACAACAGATGATAGAAACACACTGACAACATGACACAACACATGATACAAATACACTGACAACATGAGACAACAGATGATACAAATACACTGACAACATGACACAACACATGATACAAATACACTGACAGCATGACACAACACATGATACAAATACACTGACAGCATGACACAACAGATGATACAAATACACTGACAGCATGACACAACACATGATAGAAACACACTGACAACATGACACAACAGATGATAGAAACACACTGACAACATGAGACAACATATGATAAAAAGACACTGACAGCATGACACAACAGATGATAGAAACACACTGACAGCATGACACAACAGATGATAGAAACACACTGACAACATGACACAACAGATGATAGAAAGACACTGACAACATGAGACAACAGATGATAGAAACACACTGACAACATGACACAACAGATGATAGAAACACACTGACAACATGACACAACAGATGATAGAAACACACTGACAACATGAGACAACATATGATAAAAAGACACTGACAGCATGACACAACAGATGATAGAAACACACTGACAGCATGACACAACAGATGATAGAAACACACTGACAACATGACACAACAGATGATAGAAAGACACTGACAAGATTACACAACAGATGATACAAATACACTGACAACATGAGACAACAGATGATAGAAACACACTGACAACATGAGACAACAGATGATACAAATACACTGACAACATGACACAACACATGATACAAATACACTGACAGCATGACACAACACATGATACAAATACACTGACAGCATGACACAACAGATGATACAAATACACTGACAGCATGACACAACACATGATAGAAACACACTGACAACATGACACAACAGATGATAGAAACACACTGACAACATGAGACAACATATGATAAAAAGACACTGACAGCATGACACAACAGATGATAGAAACACACTGACAGCATGACACAACAGATGATAGAAACACACTGACAACATGACACAACAGATGATAGAAAGACACTGACAAGATTACACAACAGATGATACAAATACACTGACAACATGAGACAACAGATGATAGAAACACACTGACAACATGACACAACAGATGATAGAAACACACTGACAACATGAGACAACATATGATAAAAAGACACTGACAGCATGACACAACAGATGATAGAAAGACACTGACAAGATTACACAACAGATGATACAAATACACTGACAACATGAGACAACAGATGATAGAAACACACTGACAACATGACACAACAGATGATAGAAACACACTGACAACATGACACTAAGGATGATACAAATGCACTGACAACATGACACAACAGATGATAGAAACACACTGACAACATGACACAACACATGATACAAATACACTGACAACATGACACAACACATGATACAAATACACTGACAGCATGACACAACACATGATACAAATACACTGACAACATGAGACAACAGATGATAGAAACACACTGACAACATGACACAACAGATAATAGAAACACACTGACAACATGACACAACAGATGATAGAAACACACTGACAACATGACACAACAGATGATACAAATACACTGACAACATGACACTAAGGATGATACAAATGCACTGAAAACTTGACATTACATGAAAAGAACTATGCCTTTGCAGGTAACTCGATTCACACAAATACGGCTTGTGTCAGAATAAATATCGTTCATGTAAGTCATTTTACTGATATTGCGATTGTTGATACGTCACAGCGTCACATTGTATCACAGACATTAACAATCAGCGGTATATTGTTTCTAACAATACAGACAGTTTATAGGACATTAACATATTGATAGATGGCACTAATGAGAAAGATTGGTTCAGTAACAATAAATATTAAGTAAAGACCTCAAGACAGGATAACTGACGGAGGGTTTCAATCAATCATACTTAGTGTTCATTTAAAACCTTTTCTCCGGATGTTGATTTTGCTATTGAAAGCGTTTAGATTAACATTTTCCGTTTAAAATGTATTTGAAGTGATATCATTAAATAAATAGACGTCCCATATGGTAATCGCCCGGAACAGGGGTTACAAAGTGTCTGTATGACGATACATACGCAATTGAAATAATTTACCTTTAACCATCCATCCACTACACATGGCAAACACATTACAAAGAAATATTATTTATTGATGTTATATGCAGAGACACCAAAACTGTTTACCTTACAACAGTATCGTCTTGATACATGGCTTTCACTTCTTCCCCAGGCAAAGAAGTTAACTGACTATAAAAGTCAGTTAACTCCCTTACCTCAGGAAGATGGGGTTTTCTCTGTACGTGTGTAGTGCTGACCTGTTAGTATGACCCGCATTGCAACACATGGACACAGACATCCCAAACACGTGTCAATGGTTGATTCTTCTTAAATGATTCATAATATTTTTGTTTAAACCTGGGTCACCCAAAGTATGGTTTCTAAGACACGTTGTCCCGTTTCGCTCCAGTAAGATAATTGATATAGGGGAAATAAATAGGGCTTCAGTGTTACAACAAAGCATCGTGTTATTTATCTCTGGTAGAGCGTCGTGGCCGGTGGAGCACGAAGTGACAATATCTGCTTGGTCATGCTGAAGGCGGTAGACAGTTAAGGAGGACTTTTTATACTTAACCCTTAACGATACCAACAAGTAAACGTACGAGTAAACATATATTTTGTGTGGACTTTAACTCTTATGTGACGAGGAGATGCGACTGAGGATTCCTGAGAAATTGACGGGTCAGTTAGCTCCCCGGAAGATCACGAGTATGCCCCCATCGCCATCCCCACCATATCAACCCACCCCCACCCCCACCCCCACCCCCACCCCACCCCCACCCCCACCCCCACCACCACTCCACCTCACACCAGACCCCACACCACTCGCGCGTCCCGGTAACTTGATTGTGTTTGGTAGCTTAATACACTTCTCTTTCCAGTATGAAAACCAGTAACGCAACTTCTGCACAGACACATGTGTGTCAGGCGGGCCATACGATGGGAATATTACACATTGACATGCATTATCACAATCACTACAGTCCTTATCTCGGAGCTGGGAACATTGAAATACTGATACCGTGAAACACACATGACGTTATGGTCTTGGTAGAATGCTTTGAAACATTGATATTGGTGTGACACTGACAGCCTGCTTGTCTCGAATTAAGGTTTTGTTCCATGGTCCACATCATCCTGTCGTATGTTCACTACTTTTATACCCTTGACACCTTGTTTCAGCAGAAAGTCAAGACTGATTATTCTCTGGCATTGACGTGTTGAACTAACGAGGCTTCACTGAGTAAACACAGCAATATTGTTTATCATCTTACGTGTTCATTTTAATATGCAAATCGCACACTTCAATACAGCAGACGTATCTCGGTACGACAGGAGCTTGAAAATAGTGAAACCCAAATTGTTCATGTGACAAGGATGATGATCATAGTTCATGATCAGTGCAATGTTCATAACATGTCAAATGACTTTCGATCACGAGATACATCTTGTTATTTCTCTCGATGACACATTGTGCATGACTTTTGTCTCTAGTTGCGATGGACGAGCGGTGTCATAGGACGTTGGACGTTGTGGAAGCGTTTGTGTTAACACTGACGGAAAAGCTGGCCTACCAGCCAGGAATGGATTGTCAACTCACTCTGCAAGCCAGGGCTGGACATCGCATCATGCTACGTTTCCTATATTTAAAAATTCACACAAATGACATGATAAAAGAATGTGAGGATTTTGTGGAAATCAATTATGGACAAAGCATTCTCTTTTCCCGTGAGTATTTCTATAATATCACTACCAAGATGCGGGCATTCCTAAGCAGACATGTACATAATCCTAGAAGGGACACTGTCGCGTTGTCGCATCGTGGCCCTGACAAAAGCAAAAAGTGTCACAATTAACCAAAGCGTCACAATGCGACAACGCGATATTTTGGCCATTTGCCGTATTGTCGCGTTGTCGCGTTGTCGGACTTTGAATAATACTTTGGTTTCCTGCTATCTTCGAGTACAGCCCGAATTTATATTGTTTCCTTGTTTGATACCTGAACATTTTTCTCTGTTCTCCGAACTGTTTTACTTGTATTTTGTGATATGTTGCCTGTGTTTTACTGTACATGTATGACATAAAGTTAATACATGATCTGGTCACAATGTGGCTGACATACTGCTGATACGACTTAAAATCTCATCTCACTCATTATTCTACCAACATAATGTGAAATTCTGGATTCCGATAAGAAAGTCATCTGTAGCGTATATCCGCAGACAAAACATTTAATTGACAACTCGTGTCTGGGAAGAATATTTATTTGAACGTATGGCGCACAATCTTGGAACAGAAAACGCTTCACGTCGTTCTGTAGAACTGTATATAAGACACCGCACTTATGTAAAGTCACTCGTTATATATCAAAGGAAGATGGCTCATGTTACGAGATCGTTTTCCAAGATTGTCTCAACTGCCTGTGTAGATAACTCGTAGAGTCTATTCACAAGTGTAGATATTTTGTCGAATCCTGGAATATGATAATTTGTATTGATATTGTTTGGCTTTTTATTTGTATGTTCGTCGCTTAACGCCGCATTCAGCAATGCTCGAGCTATATGACGACGGTGTGTACATAATCGAGTCTAGGCCAGACAATCCAGTGATTGACATCATGCGCATCGATCCACGTGATTGGGATACGATGACATGCATCAACCAAGTCAGCGAGCCTGACCACCATCGAACCCGGTCGTTCACGGAAGAGATTTAATTAACATAGATCAACATAAGAACCCATCTAAGGAAAAGTCGGTGTACTTTTATATACATTTCGGAATATTGTCTACTGACACTGAAAACTGACATAACATTGATCGTTACTGATGTCTGAATTTCCTTTAAATGTAAAACTCAAACCATACCAAATCGCACAAAGCTTTCATTATTAGCAAAAACTGTGTGATGATTTTTATAACTGACACAAACTCTGTGTGAGACCGCATCATGTGTTTCATTTTTAGATCTATGAGTGAGTGAGTGAGTGAGTTGGGTTTAACGCCGCTTTTAACAGTATTCCAGTTATATCACGGCGTGTCAGCTTAATGTGGGAGGAAAGCCCGAAGTGATGCAGGTCTCAGACGTTTACCACTTCGGTGAAACCCACGAGCACGGGTATGGTGCTGACAAACCTAGAAACATAATCGGGGCGAACCGGGATTCGAACCCACAATCATAGGTTTCTGGCGTGCCCAATGGACGCAACTCTGCACAGCGAATCGCGGCGCCTTAGACGACTGGGCCACCCGTGCCCCCTTTTAGATCTATGAATAAAGATTCAGCGTGACACAACACTTTATGACAATAGTCAACTTTCCCTCACGTCGCGCAATATTCAGGCCGCTCCAGATTTGTTGTTCACACCGTCTGAGATGCGATCGAGCATGCTCTTTCTACCACGATTTCAAAGAACGTCATGCGACTCCTGCTCAGAACCTGCTTGATTAAGGCTACTACATTCAACGCCTCGGGAAAGCTTTCAAAAAGTTTTATGGCAGACATGTGAAGGATATGACGCATCGTTGACAAAATGTCCGATGCAGTTCCCTATTTTGACCTGTACCATATGTTCACGGTGGGACAGGATACGCTCACCTTTTCGCGAACACCTGGTATCATTACTGTTTGAGAGTCATGATATAGTCGGAATCGTACAATCGACTCTGCTTTATGCAGATAATTCTTTTAGATGTGGAAAGGCTTTTGTCGCTTACGCTGAATTTATTGAGAGATTTTTAATTGGAAACATGTTACAGATTTAACCCCTGTCATATGCCGCACGAAGCCAACGGGATCTATGGTCACTGCAAACACAACTGCGTCCATCCACTTCCACAGCAATGCATATGGTGAAGATGCTGGTTTTCAACTTCTCGTAACACCTTTCCATACAGGTTAGTAGATCAGTGTATTTATATATAGTATAATTCATTATCACCCAAACAATCATGTTTTAGAGCTACAAATCTAAGAGATTATTTATAACAGAGGATGCGAGATTCAGTAAACCCATCCACTGAAGATAAGGTAAGAATTAATCTTCAGCAGCCCATGATTGTCGTAAGAGGCGACTAACGGGATCGGGTGATCAGGCTCGCTAACTGGGCTGATGTTTGTTATCCTGCCCCAGGTATAAAATAGATGCTCGTGATATCAATCACTGGATTGTCTGGTCCAGACTCGATTATTTACAGACCGCCGTCATATTGCTGGAATATTGTTTGAGGGCGGCGTTAAAAGACAAACAAACAAATCAATAAAAATGTGAAATGTGTATCTCAATAATGCAGAAAATCCAACAGAAATGTACTAATAAATTCATTATCAAGTGTAGGAAAGAAAGTGTGCATATTAATTCTCTCCACATAAATCTTGTTTTTTGTCTTTATTTTGCCTTAATATAAATAAACAAATACAAATAAATATCGATACAAGATGCATTATTCAGTTTTAATAATTCGTTCTATCGGAAATCACTCTATCACAACCTATGGATGTTTTCAGACGATAAGTGTTATTCTGATTGATCACATCTTCTTTATCGTTGTGTTCGTCAGGAAGTTGTTACAGCCGTGAGTTCCGATGTAACAACGGCAGATGTATCCCCGGCAACATGTACTGCAACGACTACAACAACTGTGGGGACAACAGCGACTCCTGTACTAGTTCGGGCGTATATTCCAGTGTAACTATCTACATGTCTGCCGCCATCATCCTGTGTGTAGTTCTGTTGATCGTCATCGTCGGTATGTGCTGCTGCTGCGCCAAGTCGTCCAGGAAACGACGCAGAAGAAGGGTATAAACTTTGGACTCTTTTATATCCTATATTTGTATCATTAACCCCCTGTAGCTATACATCACGTGTCACTATCTAATAGTTTACGGGGCTCGGGTGTAGAGTTGTGTCCCTTAGAGTGCCCGGATCCTGTGATCGTGGGTTCGAATCCTGATTCGCCCTGATTTTGTTTCTTGGTGTGTTAGCCCCATGCGCGTGTTCGTGGGTTCACCAATTGGTAAACATCTAAGATCTGCATCACTTCTGGTTTTTTCTTCCCACGCCAAGTTGACATAATTGAAATACTGTTCAAAGATGCCTTACCATACATACACACATACATACACACACACATACATACATACACATGCAGACACACAAACACAGACACACGCTGACACACACAGAGACACCCACATACACTTATATTCTTGTTGATTGGAATCCTGCACTTTCACCTGGTGATGTTTTTTTGCGTTTTTCTTTTCAGAGAAGGAGGTCAGCGAGACATTCACGTCAACATGCCCGGGAATTGTCCGAAGCATATGATAACCCAGTCGGACTCTTCTCCCTCAACGACCTTCCCCCGTACCTAGATATACCCACCTATCCTCCCCCAGCTTACTCTACTCTACCTCGGAGACACGCCCAGTCCCGGGGCACCGACATCACGACGGAGACTGCTTTTGATAGGACCACAGCCCCTGTTGAAAATCCTAACGAGGGGACAAGAATACCCCGAGATACACATGTGGAGGAGACGTGCACATCTACACCCGAGGAGGGGACAATTGCATTTGACACGAGTGCCGCTGACGACACACCAGAGACTGGTTCATCTGGAGACACACCTATGAGGAGTACACCTGGAGACACACATGTGAGGAGTACACCTGGAGACACACCTGTGAGGAATACACCTGGAGACACACCTGTGAAGTGTACACCTGGAGACATCACTGAGAGTACACCCGAGGGTACACCTTGAGACACCCCTCAGTATAAAATGAATACACCTGCTGTACCAGAACACCCGCCTAAATGAGAAGATGCAGTGCAATCGATTATATTTTTATCTTTATTCTTGACTTTTTAACAAGATGAGTGTGAGTGAGTGAGTTAAATTTTACATCGCATCGGCAATATTTCAGCCATATAGCGATTGGAACTAGGTATTAGATTTAAAATATCTGTCAAATGGACAGTAAAATAGTAAGGTATATCAGTTTTTAATAAAACAAACCAGACCACATTTTTTTTAAACCATATAGCTATAATAGATTACGTCCTATCAGTTAAAACAAGGCTATAGACAACTAATAACCAAAGTTAGACCACCTTACTGGAGATCATGGGGACTCACAGTACCTATGCTTCCTGCATGACTCCCCATCAGGATTTATGCATTCGCTTTGGCTACCAGTAGCTGTGCCGTATGCTCGCCAATATTTAAAAAAGACAATACAATCTTAGTTCTAAAACACAAGTTTATATAACTTACCTTGATCGAGAATGGATTTACGCGTCACTAGCAGGAGGACAATATTTTAACGCTACTTTAACCACCCGAGTGGCACCACCATCAATAATCTCAGTTGATGATACTATGTAACTTATTCAAAATGCATATAATCCTTTCAAAGTTTATCTATTAGGTCTACTTCTCTAAAAAACAAGAATTAAAGGAGTACTGACATTATTAAAAAGATCCTTTAAAGAGCATGAATGATACTATTTATCCCCTGTGAGAGAAAAATCTACAGTCAAGCAAAACATGCTTGACTGTGATTCTCTCATCACAAGGGATACAGAATGGAGGATCTTCAGCTTTTAACAAATCTTAACAATTTTGATACATACCTTCTCCACGATTGGCGTTTTGTTTAAATGTACGCTGTACCTTGGCGTTTGTTATTTTGACATAATTAAGATTATGTACTGTAGGATGTCGACGGAAATACTTTTCTGCCATCTTCTTAATCTTTCTAGCCTTTTTACAATGTGTATCAAGCCAGGGTTTACGAAAGGGTGGGATTACATAGGACTTAGGAATAGTTTCGTCAGCAATTTTTATTCAGTTTGTCCGAGAACATCTGAATGGGATCAGGGACATATAGTAAAAGATCATTTGTCAATATTTCCTCACATAATGATTTAAAAATGATTTAAGGCCAATATGCCTTTGAAAAAATCCATCTCGTTGAAGGCGGCTCATCAGCTGGGTTGTTGGCAGTAAGAATAGAAGGGAAATAGTCACTCCCACACATGTCATCGTGGACTGACCAATTACATTCAGTTAACATATTGGAATCTGAGAGTGAAAGATCCAAAACAGAATAATTACCACTAGCAGGATGTAAATTTTTGAGCCATCATTAAATATACAAAGATTATTATAAGTGATAAAATCTTCATTGACTTCCTCCACCGACACAGGGGCGCAACCCACGGCAAACGGGTTGCCCAATTTGGTCGGCTTTACGACCAGCAATGGGGTGCTGAGGACACATTCTTCCCCAGGTCCACACGGGGGAAAAGCTATTGGCGTTAACCAGCACTCACCACGGGGATGTTGCTCTTCTCGAGTGCCTTTAAACAAGATGAAGTCAGATTTTCAAATGTTATTCTACTTATCAACAATAACGTAACAACATGACAATTGCAATATTATTTAAACATTAACATGTGCAAAGCTTATATCTTTTTATTATTTTGATATGCATATATATTTATTTGTTTGCATTAAGTATTTATTTTATAAATAACATGTTTCATTTGTATTCACGTCTTTATTGTCCACTGAGAAATCAGTAGCTCTGTTCAGTCAGTAATACAGCTACATCACCACGGCCTGCGAGTTCAGATCTGGACCAGGCAAACCATTGATTTCAACCAGAAGCAATGGTACAGCCTTCGGGGTCCGATGACATGCAATCACCCTGGGCATCGTGCCTGACAACCCGATCTATTGCAGTCGACAGTTGTACGGAACACTTTGAGTTACTGTTGTAGGAATATTACGCATGAATAGCAACGTGCATTCACGTGTGTGTGCGTGGCTGCTAGTCCGGACTTATGAAGTTATAGTAGTGCTAGTCCACTGACAAACCATGCCGCAATTTAACATGGACATCCAGCGCAGACATAGTTTATTGACTCCGAGGTGACCAGTCCTTGTTTTTGGTAGGGTAACAAGTACAATCTGTTAACGTCTCTTGGAATGACGGACTCGTCGACGCAGCCGCCATACAGACACCCCCAACATACAGACACACACATACACACACGCGTACACACACACACGCACACAAGTGTATGTTGTATTGAGTGAAATACTCTTGAACGCGACGTTAAACCCTATTTCCTTCACACTGTTGTTTTCATTTCTGTCTGAAATAATAACGTTATACCAGCTTCAATCATGCCCAATGCACGATGACGACCTTTATGCCAAATCTTGGCATGGTGCATACCGTTTCACTCTCAGTGAGTGAGTTAAAATTAAACATAGCATCGGCATTATTTCAGCCATATAGCGACGAACCAAGTTAATATATTTACAATTTAGTTATTAATGTAAAGTTTTATTTAAAAACAAGTTGTGAAACATAGTTGAGAATAATATATTTAGAAACAATGTATGAAACATATTTGATCATAACAATATTCAATATGCAGTTTATATAGGCCACCAGTAACCAAAGCTAGGCCACCTCCCTGAAGATCATGGGGACTGACAGTACCTCTGCTTCCTGCATGATACCCCGGCAGGATTTACGTCATCACTTTTGCCACTGGTGGCTGTGAACAATACCAGCCAATATTAAAAAATACTCAGCAAAGAGTTGGCTTAAAAACACTGGTTGTTGATAGTTACATCGATTATGATAGGATTACGTGTCACACAGGGGGGCAATAATTTTACCATACTTTAACCCCCTGGACAGATCCTTCAATAAAGTCAGTAGATAATAGCATAACACCAAATGTAAAAATAATCATTTAATTATTTACATACATATTCAAAATTTATTACACAGACCAATTTCTTTCAAATAGCTGATAATAAGATACCCTCTGACACAGGAAAAGAGATCTTTCAGATTTACGGCTTGATAATAACAGTCAAGCAATATATACTTAACGGTGAACCCTTCATTACAAAGGATACACTTAGTCCTAATCTGTCTTCGGCAGATATTCGTGTGTAAACCGACTGTGGCCAATACGACATCGTCGTAAAACGACCTCGTCATGTCTTGACTGACAACCCAAGTAGGTTTGACCGATTGTTGGTTCGTGAAGTTTATTGCTTCCTACTTGGGTGTCCAACCGCTATTGCATGAGATCCCTAGTATAACTGTTAATAGTTGGTTTGCAATCGCTATACGGGTTAAGTAGTGGAGATAATGGTTTGTCAATAGCTGCTTTAGCTGCAGCATCGGCTTTTAAGTTACCTATGATGCCTACATGACTTAGCAACCAGCAAAAGACGATGTTACATTGGCCAGTAGAAAGATCATTGAAAAGTTCTAAAATGTCAAGGATTATGGGATGATTTGTGGAGACACTTTTCAGTGCCTGAAGGCAAGATAATGAATCAGAAAGATGATGAAATTTTTAGATTGGGTTTGATGTTTGATATAAGTCAAAGCTGTAAAGATAGCTTGGCCTCAGCAGTAAAAATTGAACAAGAATCTGGGATTCTTGAGGAGGCAGTTCTGGATCCAATGATGGTGGCATCAGCCACTTTGCCACCATCCTTGGACGCGTCTGTAAAAATGGACCTGTGAGAATTGTATTTGGAGCGTAATTGGTTATATGATTGTTGATAAACCAAAGGATTTGTTTCGGACTTTTTGAGCTGAGTGAGGGTAAGGTCTTCCTCTGGCTTCACAATCTGCCAGTGAGGAGAAGACAGAAGACGGTAAGTTGATATAATATGTAACCTCTCCGAAGATAACAATGATACCTTTGGAGATGGCAAATGGATTAAGTTTGATTGGTACTTTGTCTTAAGGTTCTATTACCAAGAAACGTGCCCAATAGTCGGATCGAGTGGGCGAAGTATTTTCAACAGTGTCTATATGTCGTCTTTTTGAACCAGGGTGAATAATTCTGCACCCCTTTTCCCCACCCACCATGGAGTGTCTACAAGGACAGTCTTATGCTGCAGCGGATTTCCAAGCTGCAAAGACAGGGGACAAAGGGTGGTATACTCCAGCAAATTTGACACGAGGAGCTAAAGCATTCCACCAAATTAAAGGTCAGAGTGGAGTACAGAATTCGGAGGTCAGCAAGGAGGATTTATACATTGATAAATATGATATAGACATTTAGAATACATTTATGTTTAAATACCAAAAGTGTGCGTGAAATATTTTATGCACAGGGCATGACATGACCAGCCGATTGATAGAATCGGGCACATTCTACCGCCCGTCTAGGCAAAGTTAGGGTCCAAGTGGTGTGTTGGACTAAGGAGCACTATTGCCGGTGTCACGAAATATATTCGCCCCCAGAATAAAGTCTCCCCCCGGCGAATTTATACCGGTACAGTTCCGCCCCTCTCGAAATAAACTCTCCCCCACCCTACGAAATAAAATCTCCCCCCAGAATATTTCCGCCCCCGGTCGTTTTATAAATACTTGCCATGCAGTTCAATAGTTGATGTTATTTTGGGTTAGGTAATGTTGTAATCTATTTTTAGCCATTGATTCCATTACTTTGCATAAGTTTGAAGTTGAGATATTGGTCGATATGAGTTAGCTTGATTAGCTGGTTTATTAGGTTTGGGGATTGGTATGACTAGGGCCTGTTTCCAGGGAGTAGGATATAGTTTTAGGTGGGTTTTTTTAATTATTTGTTAAGAAGTTAGGTCTTATCCTGGGGCTGTGCCCTTTTTCCTGTTTTGGATTACGTAGAGGAGCTCCTCCATTTTGTAGGGTTGGTTTATTTCTAGATTGTTAGCCTGCTTTTGTTAGGTCGTTGGAGCTTTTAAGTATTTGGTTTATTAATTTAGGTCGTTTTTTGGTATTTTTGTTTTGGAGGGCTTTGTAGCCCACTAAGCGAGTCAGTGAGAATTAGGATCTTTTTGTTGTTTTTTGATTGTTGGTTATGCAGGGCTGAGGCCATGCCCATAAGAGGGGGCTTTAGGGGTTGCTTATATAGAATTTGGGAATTTTGAGATTTGGAATAGATGCCGATGGGGTAGGGGAGGAGAACTAAGGGAGCTGGGTATGGTGGATGTTTGTGTGTTTATGTAATTTTGATTTGGTGGATTATAGTGTTTTAAGATGCGTTTTATTAGTTCCGTTTTGATTAAGAATACGCCTAAGGCCTTGAAGTTTTCTAGTTTATTTTGTGGGTTTAGTATTGCTTCTAGAGTGAGAGCCTTGTTTAGATTGAGGGTGGTTTGTAATGCGGTTCGATGTGTTAGGTAGTGTGTGCAGTAGATGAGTGCGTGTTGTGGGGTTTCTAGTTGTTTGCAGTGTGGGCAGTTACCTGTAGTATGTTTTTTAATTTTTTTTAGGTGGTTATTTAGGTTGGTGTGTCCTGTTTGGAGTTTAGTGATTACTCTGTCGATTTTTTTTGATGGATGGTGAATTTATGGTTTGGTTAGTGGTTTGCTGAGTACTTTTTTGATTTGGCTATTTGAGTTTAGATATAGGTTATGCCATTTTTTGGTGATTTTTTGCTTGTTTACACTTTTAATTTCTGATTTTGAGATGGGTAGGTTTAAGCTTCTTTCTGGGATTTTGAGGGATTGTTTAGCTGCCTTATCGGCGTTTTCATTACCGTATATTCCTACGTGGGCGGGTATCTACAAGAAGGTTATTTGTTTGCCTGCGTTAGTTAGGTCGTTGGAGCTTTTAAGTATTAGATTTATTAATTTAGGTCGGTTTTTGGTATTTTTGTTTTGGAGGGCTTGCAGTCCACTTAGGGAGTCGGTAAGTATTAGGATTTTATTGTGTTTTTTGGATTCTTGACTATGGAGGGCTGAGGCCATGCCCATTAGTTCTGCCGTGAATATTGATTGGTTGTTTGGGAGTCGGAAGGATTGTGTAGTTTTAGTTGGTTGTGTGGTATGGACTCCGAAACCTGTGTGTTTGGAGGTCGGATCTGAAGATCCGTCCGTGTAAATGTGACACCAATTTGGCCAATTTTCGTGTATGTATGCTAGTGTGGTGGTTTTAGCTATGTTTGGGTCGGTTTGTTTATTTATTTGGCTAGCTAGTGTTGTGTCTATTTTGGGTATTTTAAGTTTAGGGGTGAAGATATTTGATTGTTTGCAGTTTTGTTTAAGATTTTTTATTTGGTGTTCATTTAGGTAGTTTGTTATTCTTTGGGATATTGGGGTAAGTAAGGGGTGTTTACGAGCTAGAGCTTGGTTTTTGGGGCTGATATTTTGGTTTATTAAGTTTTGGATCAGAGGGTTTGATTAGGATGCGGCCCAGAAATTTAAGCTTAGCTGTTCCCTGCGTAGACTTAGTGGCATTTCTCCTGTTAAGGCCTGAAGTGAAGTGTAGGAGGTGCCATGTTGGGTGCGTGTAATTAGTTTGAGAGCCTGATATTGTATTGAGTCAAGTTTTTTAGATAGAGAGTTGTTTAGGGTGTTGTATATGGCGCAGCCGTAGTCTAGTTTTGATCTAATTAGTGATATGTAGAGTGAGAGGAGGGTATCTTTGGAGGCTCCCCAGTTTGAGCCAGTGAGGCATCTTAGGGTGTTTAGGTCTTTACTGCATTTAGTTGTTAGGTTTTGGATGTGAGCATCCCAGGT